ATGTTTGGGGAATCTAGCAAGTATCGTCAGCTTTCATATGCATATCTTGGATTCATTGTATGTATTATAGTTTTCGAGAAACACTGCTTTTTGGAGCAGTTTGGAAAACGCTGCCTTAAAAGGAATCAATCAAATACATCTGAAGAAGGATGAAAATGAATTTAAGAGAAATAAACAGGTAGAGAGATGTGTTATCTGGATCGATTAACATAATTGTCAATTAAAATTTAATTGCTTTGATAAGAGATTACGTGACGCAACGCCGCAACTTCGATTATGCAACGAATCGAAAAGTGTAGTGTAGTATGGACGGGGACCGCTTTCTTTTGTTGTTTTTCTTTTTTTTTCGTTCACCACTTGTTTTATCGATTATGTATGTGTGTTTAATGTTTTAATGTCTCATTTGCTCATTTCAATTGTTTTGTTTTAAAGTGTCGAATAGATGAACAAAAGAGCGATTGTTCTGGTATACGTTTGACATTTAGTCTAATTGGAGGACTCGACGCAACTAATAATTGACACTAATTTGACGTTTTTTTTTTTGAATAATTGCTTTTGAATAATTGAAATTATGTGATCAAAGTAGGCCAGCAAGTAGACAGCATGTGAAATGTCAGTTAAGGTACGTCGGGTTACTGTGCTAATGCGTCGTTGATATCTCCTCCAAAATTAAACGTCAAATCTGACACTGTATCTATGGTTACGCTTAGGGTTATTGTTCTAACGGTTAGAAACGTCAAAATTGACATTTGTGGCTGTAGTTAAAGTAATGCGAGTGTCGTGGGGGTGTTGTTGGGCGTTATAATAATGCGAGTAGGTTCGAAATCCGCTTCGCGACGACGCGCATGAAACGTGCTCGTTGCGTAATTCGAAAAATCTCGGTGCGTTATAATAGTAAGAGTAGTAGGAGTAAAATGTTTCGTCGAACCGGATGTGTCAATCAATCGAACGAAAAATATGCGATCGATCGATGACATTCGATCGATGCCAGCGCCACAAGAAGAGCTTACGCAAGTAAGAAAAGATAAAATCCACACGCCGTCGCCGCCGCCGCCCACCACCTTCTTCATCGTCATCACGAGGCGCATAAATCGCCTCCACGTCCGTCGGGCCTTGGCCTAAACTTTAAGCTACCGCCGTACCGCGAGTAGCAAACACCATTGTGTGTTGTTGGATCAAGTGTGCCGTGTGTACGATCTAAATCCGATGCGATTCTTGCTTGGCATGATGACTTAGGTCTTACGGCCGTAGCCACCGTAGCAACGAAACAAAACAAAACAAATCAAGTCTTTTGTTCGTGCGCGCGTACTAATCTTCGATCAAGGTCCACTTGATCCAATTTCGTAAAGAAAATAATCCAATATCAATACTAAATCACACATGTACCAGCGACTTTTTTTTTTCTTTTTAATACCACATCCGATTTAATAACGTGCGACACGAATTATGATAATTAATTGCCTTTCATTTCGGCAACAGCAAAAAAAAAACACGACCAATTTCAATTTGATTGATTAGAAAATGCATCTGTTTTAGATTGAGAAATTACGCTCGTTTTTGAATTGTGTAAGATCCGAATCGCATTTTTCCATAATTAGTAAACATTTCGTAAGACGACGAAAGCATATTTCACTCAACTAAATTAAGGCGACATGCATAATTCATTTCGTTGTTGTTTACTTAAAAAACAAATAAAAGTGATACTTGTCAAGTAACTTGCTCGTGTACACGTTACTCGGCAAGTACTTGTCATATTTAAAACAGATTTGTCGAAGGACGCCGTTGCCTAATCGTCGAGATAATTGAATCAATCAATTGAATTTATAAATTATTCATTGAATTTCGCAATTTTTGTACAATAGATTTATAAAATTAATGAAATGAAGTAATCATAATAATAATAATGGAACAAAACCGCCCACTTTTCCATTGTACCAAAAAGAGAGAGATAGAGCAAATTAAATCAAGAGTGCGTCAAAAAAAAAGGAGAAAGAGTTTATTAATAATAATTGAAAAACGTTACCGAACAATTGAATCCGCGTTATTGTTTTGCTGTTAGCGGCAAAACGAATCCGATTAAGTCGAGAGAGAGAGAGCGGGAATTTCGTAATCGGATCAACGTTTCAAAAAATATCTTTAAACTCGAGAACCTTCCATCTCTCTCTCTCTCTCTGAATCAATCAAACAAAAAGCAAACGAAAACAAAATCAAACATGTGCCTTTTCAACTGTGCACATTCACAATCTAAAAACTGATTTATTCGACGTCCGTAATAGATCTTATTAATTGGTTAAAAAGTGCTTTCGGCGCAAGAAACGGTGAGAGCGTAATTTACCTTCGGATTTATTGGGTTTTAATTTAAGAAAAAGAATAATGAAAAAAAGTTCGGATCGCAGCCGCCCATGATCGCAATAATTACCAACTGTCATCGCTTGTTTATTTGCGTTACCTAACAATATCCATGACGACGCATTAATTGGGGCGAAAAAGGAAACGTTTTTACTACCAAAATTAAAAAAAAAAAATAATAATAATAGCAAATTGGATAATCTAAAATGAAGGATTTTATTTTAATAAATTTACATATCAAAATGTTAATCGTTTCGATCCAATTTGTGATAGATTTAATTCGATATCACAAAAATTTGTTTGTTTGGGTGCATAAATCTTCCGCGCGACCTTCGCGAGAACCGAAGCACCTTGGATCTCTTTCACTGATCCAATAAACATAAAAAAAAACGCTCAAGAGGAGCGACGAAAGCTCATCGCTGTTTATGATACACGAATTCCGATGTTATTTTTTTAAATTTAATCTAGATACATACGTAAGATGGCCGAAATAATAAATTTAACGCGTCAATGGTAGTCATGGTAACTTCACTATGGTTACCATTGTAGGTCCCTTTAGTCGCCTTTTACGACAAGCGGGATCGGACTTTGGTCGTATTCTTTTTCGAACCCCGAACCAAAGGGTTTTAATTGGAATTGGATTGAAAATATTAAATTAATAAATTAGACAATTTAGGAATGATCTCATTTGTGTTTTTTTTTCTTTCTTTATCGAACAGGAGAAAGGATTGGTTGGAATTCAATCCAAATATTTCCTGTTTTCTTAAATTAAATGCAATAAATTCGTCACGAAATAATCAAAATTAATAATTTCCATAGCAACGTAAATTGTCATGGAAATAAAGCGAAAATAAAACAAGTGATAAATGGTAGTAAATATATTTTCACATATTTTTCTCTCTCTTTCTGTCTTTCTGTTCGTCATCTCGTTTCATCGTCGAGACTGAGAACCTACTAAAACTAAGTTGCATTTTTTTTTTTTTAAATATTTACAAACTTTTTTTCATTTATATTTTATCACAAAGCCTCTTCTCGTTGTTACGTATTAAGTATATATCTTTATTTACATTCTTCACGATCGATAATCGCGTTTCTCATTTGTCGTCTAAGGTAAGAGTGTGTTTGTTTTTGTTTAAATCAATCTAAATCTAGTGATTAATAATAATGGTTCGATGCATTCAGGTTTAGATCCATTAAAACATGGAAAAGTGGATGATACTCTCGTCTGTGTACTATATACATTTTTTTTTTGTTTAAATAAAATGAATGAATGGTTGCTATGGGGATGTCTTTTTTAGAATCTCGTGTTTTCGGATATTTCGAATGCTTGGTTGACCTGGCCTTGGCTCACTATGGCAACGGGTGTTTGTTGTTGCTGCAGCTGTTGAAGTTGCGGTTGAGGTGGTGCGCTCTCCACGGTTTCCAGTCTAGGTGGAATTGTCGAGGGTTTGCTGTTCTCGTCTGGGGTGAAATCTTTGACGACCAGCATGATCAGGAATCCGACGATGAGGACCAACACGAAGAAGATGTAGGCCATGCTCATGCCGTACGCCGTGTAGATGATCTGGAAGATCTTGGTGGAGATGACGGCGGACATGGAGAAGTGGATGGTCCAGAATTTGCTGCCAATGTTTACAGAATATTTGGGCATCATCTCGGAGAGCATCAGGAGGGGAACGGTGGCCAGGCCGAAAGTGTGGAAGAAGTTGTAGAGGACGAGAAGGAAGAGCGGCGCCCACCTGAAGATGGGATTCAGCTCTTCGAGGTCGTGTCTCAGGAAGAAGTAGAGGGCGATGAGGGAGAGGATGAAGATGCAGCAGCCCAGTGTCGTGACCAGGTTGAATTTCCTCGAGAATTTCTTGGCGAATTTCAGCGACAGCGTCATGCTCACTAGGAAGCAGAAGGCGTAGACGATCGAACCAACCTTCGGGTTGGGATTGTGCGTGGATACGAGGATGATCTGCGAGTAGACGATGTTGGCGGCGCCTCCACCGTACTGCTGCAGGAAGACCAGCAGGAACATGATGAGCAGACAGTGCCTGCTCTCCGGATCCTTGATGACATCGAAAACGCCCAGCGGTTTGACGTGCGTCGCGACGGGCGTCATGTTCTTGGTCAGATCGTTCTTGTCTTGAACGCTCATCACGTTGTTGATCCTGTTACCGTCGCCGCCGCTGCCGCCACTTTCCTCCTCTTTGACGGCCTTCGGTATCGCTCCGAAGGTGATCAAGCCCAGAATGGGGATGATCGTCGAGTAGATGGCCATGCTCCTGAAGTCGACGTTCGCGCCCAGAGTGAACATCATCAGTACACCGAGCGCCATCCCGGTGGGCATGTAGTTATTAATGCCAGCGGCGACGCTTGGATCGCACGTCTCCTTTATGTACCTTTTCAGCTGACCCATGCCGTAGCCGTGAGCGAATCCGACGCTCGCACGACTCGCCAGGAACCAGAAGATGTTCTGCGAGAAGTACATCAAAATCCAGCCGACGATCTGCAGGCAGAAGCACAGACACACGGCCAACTTGCTGGGCAGGTACTTCGAGGTGGAGAATAGGCAACCCAACGTGTTCCCCTCCCATAGAAAGCCGGCGATGAGCGGCGTGATCTCGATGTTCAAAGGAATCGGGCTGGTCGCCTCCTGCAGGAGCGTCGGATACGCCACCGACGCCCATCCCAGCATCATCCCGAAGGACACGGCGATCCCGGCACCTGCAGCAAAAAAACAGAACACGCAATATCAGCACTATGAATCAAAATTGACGTTTAAACTGTCATGACTTAAGTGTTTGTGTTTTATTTGCTCGGCACACTTAGTGGCAATAACGTCTTTCATTAAAGCAAGCAAAAAAAAAACACACGCACGTAAAATCGTTTTAATGAAATTCATCTTTCGTCGGTATCGGCCGCAAAGCCTTCATGACCGAAGATAAAGCAAATTGAATATTAAAATATTGAGAAAAAATTGGAAAAAACAAAACCACCAATGTCAACGACAATGTTTGCTTAACAACAAAGTGATTCATTACAATTGCACAATGAAATATATTTCACTTATTTAATACAGTGATTTTCCAAATTAAACAAGTATTTGAACGCGTATCATCGTCAACACAAAAAGAAGATGATTAAAAGACATCGGGTGTCTCGATTTAATCGTTGAACGCATCAAAACATAACCGTGGTTTTCTTCAAAACAACAAACTGAAGGAAACAAAAGTAAAACGAAATATGAATGTTTTTTTTTTTGTTTTTGCAAATACCTTCGATTTCCTTGAACTCGAAAGTTTTGATGAGACGCCAACAAAATTCGCGCAAATAAAAATAGTCAAAGGAGAAAATAGTTTTCGCACGTGAGAAACTAAGTGCGCCCATCTAGTATGTGTGTGTCACGAAAGTCAACGAAAATCATTTGAAATGTCAATGTCAAATATATGTCAAAAATTAAATTTGCTAATGTAATTAGGAAAACTATTTATGCTTATTTGATTATTTTCTCTAGAAACATGAATATGAATCACAGATCGTTGATAAAACAATAATTGTAATACAAAAATTACTAAATTTCATTTGTTTCTAAACCAATATCATTGAAACAAACGAAATTACAATTAACAAAAGAGACTCACCGCACATGACTGGTACGATCTGCCGAAGTTCCTTGGGAACTTCGATGGTGATAATCATCTTGTCCAGGTTTAAACTTGAAATCCAAAACTGTTGTTCTTCGTAAATTTGATAATTTGCTGTGTGGTGGTCGAACGAACTCGTAATCAAGTAGATATTTTTCCTCTTCCTCTCCTTCTAAATTTAAACTTAAAAATTAGTAATGAGATATAGTAACCTCCTCCACTACATGATCTAAAGCACCGAATGCACTGAAGTCCGTATGCGACACCCGGTGCCATATATACACGGATGTGCCGGCTTTTTCGGGGTGGATGATTCCGGAGACGGCGCCCTCTGGCGGATCGCGCGCGTCTCGATAATTCGAACGGAAAATATTTGCACAGGCGTTACCAAAAGTGCTCCAAAGAACTAAGTGTGTGCAGATTTTTAGTTGTTTTTCGCGACATTACACACACACACACTTAAAACAAAAGAACGATCGAGAGAGAGAGAGAGAGGCCAAGTTTTACGCAAATTCAGACGCAAATTGGCTCGATCGAATTAGACACATATTAGACTTCGTTTGTTTTAGCACTTAACGTGCACGAAAATAAAGCCAAGAAACTGACGGAGCGAAACTACAATGCAAATGCTATGAAAAAGAGAGAGACGAGACGAGACGAACAGGAAGCTCTTGTTTCCTATTAGACCCAATTTCGAATGGTCCGTCTACTTCCTAGTGAGAATAGAAATGCAGAAACGTTAAAAGTCCGAAGAAAAGTCACGTGAAAAGTTCAACTTATAAATCAATAAAAGTAAAAGTAGGTTTCACAATTACTCTAAAATATTCACGCAATGCTCACAACGGCAACGACGATCAATGTTTAACTTGTGCACTTGTCAACTTCGTCAAAAAGTTACAGATGATATCGTTAAAGTTTTGATACACGTACTTGACCAAGTACTTGCCAACTACAATGTATTTGACACGTTTCTTGGCGCAGCCTATCAAGATTCGATGTCGTAGGATCCCGGGATAAAAATATCTCGTAGTTGAGTCTTAGTGAATAAACACTATATGATTATTCACTATAAGATTATTAATAACTTCTTTGTCTAGATTCCAGTTGCTAGGGTTTCTATGAGTCTAACTAGGACTAGTGCTAGGGATTATGTGAGACTAGCTAGGACTAACTTTGTATTACATAAACATCCTATTATATAGTAATTAATTACACGTAGTGGGAGTACGACATTTGGTAAGGGAAGATAGTACTTTTCCGAAGAATGTATTTAGACGATTTTACTTAACTTTCCCTAATCATTAATCTACACTTAATTAGTAGCCATTATCGATTGGCCTTCTGAATTCCTTACACATTGATTAGTTGTGAACTCTTCCTAATTGAAATTTGAACAAAGTCATTAATAAGTACACCATTATACATAACAAAGAAACGAATATAAATTACGATGAAGCAAAACCAGATTTTTTTTTCTTTGGCAGCTAACATTCAGCGCACACTTAAACAACTTATTGGAACATAAAGTGCACACCAAACATATAAATTTATTGAAGATTTTGCAATTAAATTAAGATTTCAAACTTGAGCAAAAAGACGAAGCTCTTATTGAAATTAATATTCATATTTTCGAAACGTAAAATATTAATTTAACGATCGAAACGAAACGAAAAAGGAAGAAATTGAAATGCGCATTAATTTGTTAACAAACAGGAAAATGAACTTTCGGACGAAACCGGTCTCGCGTTTGTCTATGGTATTAGTGGGTCGCGTCTAATAGGCCGTATGGAACAACGCAGATCATATATATATCTGGATATGATCTATTAATCGTTAAGCAAACAGTGTGCAGAAGCAGCAACAACAACAATAAATGAGAAAAACTAACCGAAAATTAACAAAAAAAAAAACCGTTTAACCAATAAAACAATCTAATAGTAGTAGCAACATTTCGTAGAGAAATACGAGAATTAGTACGTAGAAGACCGGAAGAAACAAACGAAAGTTTCCCTATAAATTCGAAAGAGTTTGCAGACAAATTGCGATCAATTCAATCTAATAAAAATAACCAAATAAAGATTTTAATGGTCTGTTTTCTTTGGCAAACTTCTCCATTATTAATATTATTCTAAACATTTCGGTCCAAAACTAATAGAACTAGTTTAATTTATGATTTTTGGGGGGTAATTAAGAATTATTGCAAAATATTTGTACAGAAAATAAATGTTAAAGGATAAATGGAATGATGATGATTAGTATGTATGAACGAATCAATTGCAAATAATAATAATGGAAAGAGGAGAGAATGAATGGCAAATATGAAATTCTTAAACAATTTCGAAAATAATTCCACTCGAGGAATGACGCGCACGCGAATAGTTTTTGTACGTTAATTAATCCTTTTATGAATAGAAAACTAAAAATAGTTCAAATAGCCGATGTCAAAGAACAAGAAGTGGACGGGGAGAGAGTATTTATAGATGATCGTCGACGGCGTCGCCGAATTAGCGCGTTCCCAACTGTTATCTAAGAGCAAATAGAACAAAAGAACCTTTTTTTCGTTAGCGAATTCAGGTGAAATAATACACGTTTCGAGGAATCTACATTTCTTTTGCTCACTTTTAACAGACGACAATTGTGATCTTGTAATTATATAACTTGAAAATTAATGAACAGAAACAACAGAGAGGATCGACGTAACATCTGATTGGATGCAATTGTTTTGCCTTAATTAATGTCGATAATTAGCAGTCAAAACAGAACGGGTAATGAAATAAAATGAATAACAACAAACTCGCAAAACGAAAATGGAGCGAGGAACAAAAACAAAGCAAAAAAAAATAAACAAAGGACGAACGATTATGTCAGCATTGATCGAAAAATTTTAAGATAATAAATACGAAGCAATTACAAATGGAAACTTTTACGGTTAAATATTTATATTTGCTCACAAAGAAAACAGAAGAAATATAACGACCGATATCGAATTCTCAACATATTGATTATTTTGCGTAATATTCCACTCTTAATTATAACATACAATAATTTATCAATTTTTTTCTATATTTATAAAGAAACCACTAATTAAATTACAATTAATCGAAAATATACGCAAACAGTTGAGTTGAGATGTATGCAACCAAACGTACAAATTCAATTCAAATGTTTACGTTTGTAAAACAATAATGTAAATTGATTTTCAAGGAGTTCCATCCTTTAGATCCGCTGCATTTTCTGTACAAAACAGGTGCAACCTCGAGAAGGTAAATGCGTACGGTCTTGTATCAATTCAGAGGCTGTGTTTTGCGCTTGAATTGATACCTGGTTATCATCTTCGAAAGAAGTGATATACCTTTAATTAGCACCTGGACATGCGGCCACGTGGAAGCCGCTGCTCTCATTCACAGCAAATGAGAGCAAACGCGCGACCGCACACCCGGGAGGAATCAAAAAGAAAATAAGGAAAATTTAGGATAGAAGGAAATGCTATGATCTAGGTACCTGAAAGGGAACGTAACGATTCTGAAACATGACTATAAATAAAATGAAATCAGGATCCTGAAACAGAAGACACAAAGAATAAGACACACACCCGCCGACCGAAAACATGAACGAAATATACATTTACACAATCTATAAGATCGTATTGAAAAATACGATACACATTTATAATTACAATAAAAATAAAATTGCATTGCACATTGAACATCATTATAATATTTAACAGGAGAGGAATAATTGGAACAAGTTCATTTTCTCTCTCATCTTTTTATTTTT